TATGAAGAGTATAAAACCATTCACATTAAAAAGACATCGTGAATCCAAGTAGCCTTTGTATGCCAATAAAACTATAGAATATTTCGAATAACTGCTAAAATCATCAAATAAAGAAAAGCAAATTTTGAGAAATTAATGACTGTTAGCGAAAAATATTTGCGCGCGTCGTACGAAGTTTCATATGCATGGTTAAAAATTAAAAGCTATACACCCTTGAGCTTGTATTACCTGATGCTATTAAACTAGTAGAAATACTTCACGGAAGTAAATATGTCGATACAATTTGGTAAATTCTTTTGCCAAGCGATACTGTCTTCAACAGAATTTCTGAAATTAGCAATGACCAATTCGAGCAATATATACCTAGGCTAAAGGGAAGTCCAAAATTTATAATTCATTTGGACGAAATTACTGATATTTAAAAAATTTCTCAGTTATTAGCATATGTCAGATACATTAATAAAAAAAAGGATCAATGCAGAATTATTATTTCGTTGTTTTTTGATGAACATGCAAGAGGGGAAGACAGTAAAGGTGACCAATTTTTTTAAAACTGAACGTTTAGAATGGAAACAATATGCATTGGAATACGCACAGATGGTGTGAAAGCAGTCCCAGGCGAAAATATTGGTATTAAATCATTAATTAAAACTACTGGTAATAATGATGTAAATTTTACACCACTGCCTGATCCACCGAGGGGCCCTTGAGTAAAAAAAATAGTAACTGAATTAAATGATGTGCTTCAGGATGTTGTCAAAATCATTAGCTATATATAAAAAGCCGTACTCCTAACAGCCGCTAATCTAATAATTTTCAAATCTTTGTAAGCATGGACTCCAAATACAAAAATTTATTATTACACGCAGAAGTAAAATAGATGTCAAGAAAGCAAAATTTAATAATATTATTTTATTAAAAGACGAAATTATTATATCTTTTACCATTAAACAAACAAAACCCCGATCTTGCCGCTCCGCTCTTTGATAAAATGATTTATGGTTGTCAAAGCTGTGCTATTGGTCAGATATTTTTGATCTCAGCTTATCTCTTCAAAGAAAAAGCAGCACTATGTTTATTTCGATGATAAAATTGGAGGTTTTATTTAAAAGACAATCGAACTTACGACAGTTTTATAATTAAAAAATAGTTGTAAACCTTGAACAGGTTTGCGTAGCCTTTATTTAGAATTTGGATTTCAAAATGTTATCTTGTATCAAAAACCATTTTGCTTGATATTAATGAGATTAATAACCTGCCATATAAACCCCAAGAAGTATTATTTGAGCAATTGAATTACTAAAGTTTAAAATTTTAATTTTTACAAAAATACTTGACTGAATTCTGGATCAGAGATAAAACTCAATTTCGCATTAATTCTGAAATGGCATTAAATGTGTTTCTGCCATTCAGCACGACATGCTCACCTAAAACAACTTTTTCGGCTTTGTCCCTGAAGGACTATTGTTTCAGTTTTGCGATTTTGTGTTGAATCACTATAAATGTCCGTTTCACTTTTCAAACTGTTGCCACCAAATGTTAAAGTCTTGCATTATATTTGAAGAAATTAAATAATGAAAAATCTGCATAAATGCATGTGTATTTCTCGCATTGTGATAAAACAACGGTACATAGAGCCATCGAATTTTGAATGACGTAATCCTCCTATGATTATGGGCATGTGGAAGACCAAATTTGAAATTTAGAATTTGTTTTATTATCGATTTCTTATTTTGTAAAACTTTTAACAAATTTTTGAGTAACAAACTCAATGATTTAAAACCCAGCAAAGGCAACATTCTACGGCGGGAAAAAAAAAAAAAAAACTTTTTTATCTCCAGTGGGCGCGGAACTGTATATCGGAAATTCTAAAGATATGCTCAGGCCCACCAGCGGCCTAGCGGTAAAGTCGCTGAGCACTGGTAGTTCGGTCCGAGAATCGAATCCCGCGAACGGGCTGGCTGCATGAGTGTTTTCGTGGTTTTCCCCACGAAACGTAACGTGTATACGAGCCAGTTTCCCTTAGAAAGTCCTCCACGAAGGCATCCCTTCCCTTAGGCAGATAGCCCTCGAGGCTTTGCCGTTATTAAATAACCTAACCTAAAGATATGCTCATTTTAAAATTATTTTGCGACATTGATACTGAACTGAATTTTATGGTTTTAAGTGCAAAGAACATGATACTTAATAAATAAAGGTAGCTCACAAAACGTTAAAAAAACGCCCCTTTGGACGTAATTTAAAATCTGAAATCTTTATGATTTTTATTTATTTAAAAATTTTTTTTTATTAAATCCAAATATACAGTTCAATAATGAAAACTTTGAAAATACGTTCAGCAGTGTCAAACACTGCACCAAGATTTAATATGCAAGAAAAACAAACACATTCCCTTCATTAACACGTGATTTTCTTTTATTAATTTTTGCATATTTAAAACAAATTGTAAAACTATTTCTTTTCATAGATATAATGTTTACCAAAGAAATAAATTATTTATGAGAAAATATTTATTTTTATATCTCTACTTCATATTCTGATATTTGGGGTCGAGAAGAAAATCTTGATCATAAAAAAGGGAAATGAATGAAAAAAGTTCCAAAAGTACGGAACTGGATTGTTGTGTTGCTGTTAATTTATTCCATTAAACTTTTTTAAAAATTTTCTTTCTTTCTTTTATTTTTTTCACTACAGTAAGAACCGAAGAGAATACTTTAGAATATTTATTTAAGACGTACAGTTAATTTTAGTTGTCAATTTAAACTTTATTTAATTTTTTATCTTGTGGTTAGCAATGACAGCTGCCAAAAAAATTTCGCTCGGATTCGATTCCCAGAGAAGGCATGGAAGCTTGTAAACGTATAGTGCCTTTGTAGAATGAGGGCACTTAACATAACCTTGAGCCGAAAATCTCCTTGACTAACTAGAGGTAGAAGAAAGATACGTGTATAAGTTAGCAGTGAATATCGTTAGATCCTAGCTCAAATCCCGGGAAAAAAAAAAAAAAAAAAAAAACATGCCGAATTGTAAATGCATACTGACTTTGCGGCATGAAGGCACTTAGAATACCGTCAAGCCGATCCCTCGAGAGAATAATGGAAGCGGAAGACGGACAGGAGACTCTCGGATTCTCCATCAAAAGTGAAATGAAACTGCTCAATCATAAACGTTATCCTCACCTTCACGAGCACGATAAATTCGTGGGCTTGATTTGAAGCCTGTTCAGGTCAGGAAGATTAGTAACAGCATGAACAAACATTTAGTTTCGTAACGAAATTCGCAGTTTTGATAATCGCCCTACTGTCTTTTTTTTTTTTTTTTTTTTTTTTTTTTTTATCTAATTAAAAAGCAGTCTTCTTAAAGAATATTATTTGAATTATGACTAACAACGATTGCTTATATTCTGAGGCTCTGTGATTGTTTCCAGAGATGGTTATCTATGAAAAGGAGCGTCAGGGAGAGGATTCATAGCATTCATGTGACATTTTTCATGTTCTAAATTTTTATACGATTTAATTATTTTCAGAATTTCAATGAAATCCTTATTTTAGGCGTTATACTGTAATCTGAAGTTTACGCGCTATAGTATTTTTAATTATTTTGAAATCATGACATTTCTGCGACAAATAGTTTATGACTTTTATTTTGTATGTATGAAATTAAGCTCAATTGTAATCGTGCATTCATTCTTATGTGAAACACACATTCTGTGAAAGAATGCAGAAACTATCTTCATACTGCTGCAGTTCGCTGCAGATTTTGAAGATATTACGGAAGTTAAAAATAAGTACCGTATATACCATCGTATAAGTCGATACCGCGTATAAGTCGTTCCCCCCACTTCGACATAAAAAATTCGTAGAAATAAAAAAACCCGCGTATAAGTCGACCCCCCACTTCCGAAATCGATCGAGAAACTTATAAAAAAAATTTTTAAGTACTACATTTATTCAAAATCATCTGAGAAAAAAAGTAAATATACGATAAAAAATACCTTGGTAAATAAAAAATCAAAATCCTTCAACGTCCGATTCATAGTGAGATTCGACAAACATTTCTTAGAACTCTTCTGCCGTCATTGGCTCGTCATACTTATTTTAAGTCTCGAACTCTGTATTGTTACAATCACTACTAGACGTGTACGCCTGTTAACAAAAGTATTTCATGAATGAACAATAACTATTATAAAGACTTATACGTACATTAAAAACTATCTGCATTTCTCTAATCTTGGCGTGTTGGCGAAAATTTTTTATTGCTCTATATTGATCGGTTGTTCGGGGCCTGAAAATTCTTTGGTTTAATCGAAACTTACTCTAGTTAAATTATGAAACTCAGTGATTAGTTCGTCACATAATTTAAGTCATGAAATTACTTCAAGTAAGTGACTTATTTGATAAGTCGTCCAATTTGAGTGCGGGAAGAAAACAACTGCATTATATAAAGAAATTTTTGAACTTCCGATTCTTTTAATTTTTTATGGCCCCACGTATAAGTCGACCCCCCACTTTGAAGTCTTTTTTTGGTCCAAAATATCTCGACTTATACGTGGGTATATACGATAAATAAATTTAAAGAAAGAAAAAAAAAAAAAAAAAAAAAAAAAAAAAAAAAAAAAAAAACATATGCTTTAAAGAAACTCACAATATTTTAAACTATTAAAACTTACTTTTCACACAAACAAGTCCTGTCCCCCCCTTTTCTTTCTGCTTCTAGTTCAGTTTTGTAAAGATTACTGCTTTGAATTTCTAGAAAAACAAAGGAATTAAAATGTAAATAAAGACTTTAAATCACCTTTTCTTCGCAATGATAAAACTAACTGAAAGAGTAAATTCTTACGAATATCAGAATTTTTTGTATTTACGTACAACACCTTTCGGAAGTTCACATACCCTGAAATGCCTATCTGTTTTAAACTTAATTATATACAACTGTACTTAAAAGTAATTATTTCTTCAGCTCATTTATTTTCGCTTTAAAAATCGTTAATATAGCTATTACAAAAGGAAATGGATGCAAATAGAAGCAGAAGTTGTAACCATATTGTGATAAATCCCGCCTTTGACTTGCTAATGTTTAGGTACTTAGTACAAACACAATCGTTTTAATAGGGGTCTTTTGCTGAGGAGTCACACTTTGGTTTTGATGGCGCTGAGAGGAGAGTTCTGGTAATCAGACAGGGGTTGCTAACCCCCCTCGAGTCAGGAAACAATGGATCTTGGCACAAAGAGACAGAAACAAGCGCGTGCTTTGAGTTCCCCGGGTGGAAAGCATGAGATTCTCTTCTAATGGTCTGCCCGGAACAATAGAGTTGACGCATTATTAACCTTCTTATGTGCACTCATTTGCTATTTGGATCCTGAGAAAGAATTTTAATTCTCCGTTTTTCAAAGCTAAACTTATCACAGTTCCACCTGCTCAAGACAGTCGTGGTAAGTAAGTAGGATGTTCTGTAATCCTCAAAAGCAGCTTGACTTCTCTCTTTGACGATGAAACGCAGGACGAGGGAAACAATTAAGTTATTTATCTGTTTCTTTTCACCCTTCACGCCATTAGTGTGAAAGATCTATCATGACAGAAAATGCTGGTTTCAGTCTTCAATCTTTTGAAATTAAAAAAAAAAAAGGTTTTCAATACGGATTCCATTATGTCCAGTTACATCTTTCTCAAACAATACATTTCGGATTTTAAATTGCCATAAGAAGCTGAAAATCCTCGAAAAGACTCTTTCTTAACTGAAAATTTTTCTTCTTTAAATAGGAATTTTGATCTCGCTGAAAATTTAATATATTTTCTTTAAGTTTCAAAAGATTTTTAGAATTTACTTTTGCCGTTAAAAAATGTTCGCTGCAGAGATTTTCTAAAATTTTTAAATCACTACGTTACGTGATATCTTACCATGAATATATCAATGGCATCACTCACAGAAACTCACAGAAGAAAACTCACAGAAAGTATTCCTATGGTTAATAGTATCTGAATTTGAGATATTGCGATTCAAAGTAGTTTAATAATTTTTCATAAGAGAATTTCCGAATTCAATTCCTTAAGAATCGAACATGCACTAAGCCCGATTTAATAAATTTCAGTAAATAAAAGGGAATCACATATAAGGCATCAAACTTTTGTTTATACCACTGTAGCCGAGTGGTAAAGCTGCAAAATACCCTGTACAGCCGAAACAAACAGGTTTGTCTGAGAATTTACGGTTTTGTAATACGTAACTCATTATACTGGTTAATTTTGCATAGAATGTTCTACATGAAAGCATCCCAAGTATTTCAAATATATCTGTTCTAATTCTATTCAAATTCTATTCTTTCTATTCAAATATATCTGTATAGTAGTAGGTTTGCGCAGAGGCGAGGTCAGGCGACTGCGCAGGTCGCCTATCGCATGAAGGTGCCATGAAGATCAGTGAAGATTCAATGAAATATTATTCTGGTGAACTCAGTTTCTTTGCTATTTTAATCCTAACTGCGAAGGATTAACTTTTGCTTTAACTGTACTAATATTTTTGGCGACAAACTTAAAAAAAAATCAAATTAAAATAATTTAATTCTTTCTTCATTATGTGCAATTGCCCCAAATGATATAATAAAATAATATAATTCATAAACACTGACTGAAATCTCTTTAGGATGTTTATAAACTCTGACTAAATGCTTTCAATTCGATTTTGCGATTAATATCTTTTCTATTTTCGTCAGCTCCGACCAGGATACAAATTACTCATATATAAGAACAGAATTCTCGAAGTTAAGAAATAGACTTATTCGGTGAAATTGTGAACTTTGTAAATAATGTAAGTTACATAGGATTTATCATTAGCCAAAGGCTCACATGGACTTGTTATAGTCATAGGAAAAGCCTGGGGTATCGCTAACCAAATTTCTGTAGTCATTGGAAATTATTCTGGGCTGTCTCTCAACAAAGAGAGAAGGATATACCTAAGCACTATAAAGCCATTCTACACATCTGCAGCTTGGGCATCAGCCTCAAATGCAGATTTCCACAAACTTCAGGTAATACAGAATAAGATTCTGAGAAGAATTGTAACTGCACATTACCTGATTTGAAACAAACTGATCCATGACGACTTGAAAATCGACCCCATAGCAGTAGACCACGTTACTTCACTTAATAAGCTCTTTTTTTTTTTTTTTTCTCTAAACGGATCTTAGCTGTGATGCTACAAATTTTTCAGAAGTTTTTAGTTTCCATATCATTCCAGAAGATAATTTGATCAGACCAGTTGGTACTCGATTACAACTTCGCAATCTCTAAGGCGATTACTTCGTAATTGGCTTTAACTGCCTATGTTTACTTGTTTTCTTGTTCGGCATAACTTTTGTCTCTCGTGGCTTTTCATTAGATTGGCGCGCATGCAGTAAAGGAGACAATGGTCTCCCCACTTTTATCTCACTTTCTCTGAGCGTTCCTGGAGCTTTACCAGCTACCTCATTAAACTACTGGGCCCTCAGTGGCTTACTTTCCTTATCAAGCATATTAAAGCCCTTCTAAAACCACATAATAAACTTCATATTCAGTATCAGTCGTAATCAGTAGTTTAGTAGTAATCAGCAGTGAGAATTTTTCACAGCGACGGCTGACCATCTTAGTACTATATTTTCTCTCAGATCCTAGACTTAGATGAATCGACGTCTTTGGTAGTCGTGTATGCTTGCGTAAGTATAGCTCCTAAGCCAATACTTACAAGCGGACTTTATTTTGTGAATTTCGTACTTAAATTTTACTTAAGCTTTTGCGTCCTGTTAAATCGTGCATGTGGCTGTGACTTATTTTGTTATTACACGAGATGCGTAAAATTGATAAGCTGAAGTTCTAATAAAAATATTTATTTAAAACTTCTCTCTTGTTGGTATTACCTTACTGGAACATTTACGGAGCGATAAGTAGCCTGGGTGTTTCGTCAATTCAGTTTTTGATTCAGATTTCAACTTATAAGTAGTTAGATCAATGGTAATTAGCAGACAAATTTGTTACAGCGCATAGTGATGAGAACAGTGAAAGAAAAGACAAGATTTGGACATGATTTGAAAAATGTAAGAAATCTATGTGAAGTGACAAATATCTAATACGAAAATCATAAAACAGTGCTAGCGATAACATGGAATTCGGTGTAGCTTTTACAAGTATCCAAATATCGGTTACTTCTTCTGCTTTAGTTGAAAAAAAAAAAAAAAAAAGGACTTAGTTGACGCTTAAGTTTGACAAAAAAAAAATGTATTACAGCTGATAAATCAAATATAGATCAAAGTTTCAGTGTATCGGGTGTCCAAATATATCGGACAAGACCAAAAATGTATAACAGTAAGATTATAGATTATATTATCAATATGAGGCTTTCACAGATTCGTTTAAGTCACTCTCCTAAAAACGAGAAAGGGCAAAGTTTTTCAACAAGTCACTATTCTAAATAATCCTTTATACAATGAAATAATCTCACATCGTTGGTCGATTTATTTCGTTTCAAAACAATTACCTTCGTTTTGTTGTCGACGTTTTCATGATAAATCGACTTCAAATCTGTTATCTGATGGGTGTAATAAATGAAAATACTCGAGCAGTTATAAAATTGTGATTCACACGCAAAGCCTTTTATACAGTGGACTGAGTCTCAACTATTAATATTCAAAACAGAATCACAAGCAAGGAAGGTCTGCAGAAAGTTTAAGCTAGTATAACTCGTTTCTGAAATTAATGAATGTAATTCATCTGCGTTTGGCTGAAAATAATACAACTTTCAGAGGAACGTCAAAACACCAAATAATGAAAATGTATCTATAACCAAATATGGAAATCAAAAATGGAAAATTTTAAGATTTGTTAAGTTCTCAAAATTTGATCCGATCATGAGGAAGCCTGTTACAACAGCCGCGATCCGTGCCACAGCAAACCACTATTGTGGAAAAATATTTAATTTCAATTACCAAAATTCGAAGGTATTTTCTCTCTCTTTTCAGCATGCCTTTGTGGTGTAACGGTAGCACACTAGGCGCGTATTCGAGAGGTCCGGGTTCGAGTCCCGGCGAGGGCACTGCTTATTTTCCACGCCTCCTGCTCCAAAATGACTCTACAAAATTTATGAATTAATAAAATTGTGGTACTAAAATGTAAAGAACGAAATTTTATCTAAAATTAAGCTACCAAAGTATCTTGCAATTATAGTAAGCTGCATGCCAGACAAAAGTTGTACAAAAAAATTCTACAATCATTAAATTTGCCGCTATTACTGATAATATCATAAGCACAAAATAACATTTCGGTACTTTTCCTTTATGCCGGCGCAGACGATAAAGTCGCCAATAATGGTACAACTGATGCCAAACGGATATCTTCGCTGGTACCCTTTTACGCCTCATTTTCAAAACAAGTCGCAACCATTTCTTATCAGATTGATTGTTTCTTTCAATACTGGCATACAATTACATAGAATTTTTGCAAGATAGTTACATTTTATGCCGTAAGACGATTCGCGATAATTAAGTCAATTAGAATGCAATCACACCGCTCACCCCAAAGCAAAAATGTAGAAAAGGCAAAATCCGGAGTTAATGTCATCAATTCCAATGAGAATTGCACTAGCCAAGTAAAGCACTGAGGTTTTACATAATTTCTGAATAAGCTATTCGTACGCATTAAAATAATTCTTGCATTCAAACTTGTACTCAAAATTAAAATTTAACTTGAAATTAATGTAGATAATTACAGACAGAATTAAATTTTTGTAGCATAGTTTATGTGAGATGAGATCACTTTAGGTCACGTGATACGAGCCGGCGAATCGGGATGTTGAACCATGAAATCATAGTAAATTTTTAAATTAATCTCTTTTTACAAATTTATTGTCTTTATTTATTGGCATTTTACAAAATTTTAAACCATATTAAAATGTTTATGCCTTCAGAATAAAAAATTCTTAGAACTAGCATTCGTTAACATTTAGTATGTGTATACTGTATGTTGTTGCTAATAACGTCTGCTTGGCGAGATTTGCGCCTGCGAAACGGAAAAGTACCAACATTTCTTTTCCGTTTTAAGTACTGATCATAAAACTAGTGCAAATTCTACGGCTTATATTTTAAATATTTTAAATTGCCGTGATCTAAAATTGAAGAATTGTAGGGAACAAATTTATAAAATTGAGGTGAACATGGAAGCAGAACATTCCGGTGTAGAAAAAATGAATACTTGATTAAAATCTATTAGTATTTTTTGTGCCATATTCGAATTATAGTCATAAATTAGTATTTTGTGATACTGTATTTATTATTAGTTGCTTTATGTGGAGTTCTACAAAGGTCTTTTTTTTTCATCATTTTCACTATAAATAAAGCGATGAAAAATTGTAACGTATCATTTAAAGACCTCTGGTTTAAATAAACTAAAAGGCACCCATTGGGAAGCT